CCGAGCTTGTCCCTTGACCAAAACCTCAAGCTTCATGCCTAAAGACAATGGGCCAGTAGGATCCTAGCCAGGCCCAATGAAAGGGCTAAGTCCCAAGCCGGAAGGCCAATAGGTCTCTGGCTTACTGTAAATAGCCTATCGGGAGTGGGGTGTGTGTGTGCGGTGGTGGAATATAAGCCGGCCTGCGAGCCGGCCAAGGTGTCTTGTTCCTGACTAATAAAAGTATGCTTAGCTGAAATCACTCTCCGTCTGCGTACTTTTCACACTGACTCTCCAACTTCTGTTGCAGACCTTCAACCACCCCCTCCTCATTCAATTCCTGAGGGAGGGGGTCTCCCGGTGGTGCTGGGGAGTGAAATGGCTGCAGCATTTGATGGGGAAGGGGGGGAGTGCTCAAATAGATTAGAGTGGAGAGATCCAGACTTTCCCAAAGCATCACAGCAAAGCAAGTTTTGCAAAGTTAGTAGAGAAGGAGAAAACTCTAGAGGTATACAGAAGCACCATGATGCTGTGGAGAGGTGTGTGGTCAGCAGTGCAGGTGTAACTCATGTTATGTTCTCTTTAACATATTACAAGTGGGGACCCAAAAGAAACTGGTGAAGGTGGCTATCCCATTCCCCCCACTGCAGGTTTTATCTCCTCGGTGCAGTCTACTTTCAGAGAACTTAGCACCCACCTTTGTTTTTTCCCCTCTCTCCCTACTTCTCTCACACTCTTTGTTATAAAACAGAGAGCACAACAACACTGTATCATCCCCAGAGCCTGGCAGAGCAAGTTATTTTCCAGTTTTCCTAGGGTGAAAAAAAATTGTTTTATACCAAACAAGTGGGGACCCGCAAGAAACTTGCAGGAGTGGCTATCCCATCCCCCCCATTTGCTTCCCCCCTTCTCCTTCCTGCCAGCCCTTTTCTTATTCTTTCTCTCTCCTGCATGCCTGTCACTTCCTCTCTCTTTCTGCTCTCCACCCCTTCACTCTCTCTCTCTTTCTGCCCCCACCCCATCACTTTTGCTTTTTTCTTCCATCACTCTCCCGGCCTCCCACCTGCTCCCCCCCCCCCCGCAGCAGCCGCTCCCCAGGTATCACATTGGCTTTCCCAAGTACAGAGATCAGTTCCCCTTAGGGTTACCAGCTTCAGGTTGGGAAATTGCTGGAGATTTGGGGGTGGAGCCTTGTTAGAGTGAGGTCTGGGAAGGGAAGCAACCCCAGTAGGATATAATGTCATACAGTCCACCCCCCAAAGCAGCCATTTTCTCCAAAGAACGATCTCTGTCATCCAGAGATGATCATCTCCACCTCTCACCTGGAGGCTGGCAACACTAGTTCCTCTGGAGGAAACTGCTGCTTTGGGGGGTGGAGTCTATGGTATTATACCTGTCTTGAGGTTCCTCCTGTCCTCAAACCCCACCCTCCCCAGGCTCCACCCCTCAAATCTCCACAAATTTTGTAATCCAGTTAGCAACCCTATATCCTTCCCACCCAGCAGCCAACCTACATTTCCATTTCTTTTCCCCCTGCAGCCTCTATTGAGAATAACTATAGTCTGGGACTTTTCAGTTTAGAAAAGAGAAGACTAAGGAGGGACATAATAGATGTTTATAAAATTATGCATGGTATGGAGAGAGTTGACGAAGAGATTTTTTCTCCCTTTCCCAAAATACTAAAACTCGAGAACATCCAATGAAACTGATGGGCAGGAGGTTAAGGACTGATACTTTACATAGAGAGTAATTAAAGTGCGGAATTTGCTGCCAAAGGAGGTAGTGCTGGCCACAGAAATAAACAGCTTTAAAAGGGGATTAGATAGATTCATGGAGGATAAGTCTATCAATGGCTACTACTAGCAACGGTGATTGAGGGGAACCTCCACATTCAGAGGCAGTAGTCCTCTGAATCCCAGAGCCAGGAGGCAACATCAGGGGAAGGCCTCGAGCTCTATGCTCTGTTGTTGGTTGTCCAGAGGATCTGGTTGGCCGCTGTGTGAGACAGGATGCTGGCCTAGATGGACCACTGCTCTGACCCAGCAAGGCTCTTCTTATGTTCTCAGGTCTGTTCATACAGGGCTAGCCTGCAGATTTCAGGCACATTCTGCCATGCCCTCCCCCAGCCCCACAGTAGGGAGTTGATACCTTATTGCAGCTATGAGGGAAAACTGAAGTCCCCAGTCCAAACCGTGTGTCAACCATCAATTGCCTAAAAAAGCTTCAGGAAGCTACTCAGTATTCAGGAAATAATTTTGAGTTAATTGCATGACATTTATATGAAGTAGGTACAAAAATAGCATTGAAAAACACATTCGTTTTTATTGTGGAAATTCAGCCTGCAGAAAAAGAAAACCACTCATTCATTCAATTTATACCCCGCCCTCCCCACCAAGGCAAACTAGTATGAAACATTGGCTCAGTATATCCAGTTAGAGCAAATCATAAACTGACAATGAATAAGTCCCTGCCCTTTGGACGTACCACACAATGATGAAAAAATAAGAGGGGGGGAGAACAAAGGAGAAACAGACTCCAATTGGAACATTTGAGTCAAACATGCCAGTTTTCAAATCCCGGTGAGTAATCAAAACTTTCTCTTAATTAGGGCTGAAGAACAAATTAAAAGTCATAAACATTCAAGATACAAATAGTGGAAGTAATCTGGAATAACACGAGGGAAAATAAAACCGGCTAGTGGAGCTGCAGCAGGCCTTGTGGGTGAAATACAAACATAAGCCTCCCAAGTCATTTCTCATGAAGACCTCATGAACGGGGCTGGCACAGAGGAACTGAGAGGTTCCCCCAGTAAGGTGTCATTCTGTACCTCAGTCCTGCTGGACCTTTCTCCCATATGCATGAAATCATGATAGCAGAGCATATTAATAAAACATTGAATAAAACATTTGGATTGTTTAAAGATTCTTTAAAGAAAAGTTGTAGTACAAACACTTAACATAAGCTGCAAGTGAGAAGAGTCCTCTAAGAGGCATTCCCCCTTCTCTCAGGCACAGGAAGTGAAAAGTACTCGGAAACGTGGAGTGATTCAGCAAAGAGTACTTTATTTAGATCAGAACAAGACAAGCCACACTGGCACGCAGACCGGTATATATGCCCCAGAACCCACCACCAAAATACCTATAGGTTGATACAGTAGCCGAGAGTCCCATAGGCTCTCGGCGGCGGACCTGGCCCCCTGATTGGTGCGGGCTAGGATCCGCTTGGGCTATTGTCCGAAAGTACGAAGCTATGAACATGTGCTTGACCGCATGGCCCAACGGTCGCGCACGTGGTCATGGCGGATACATTACAGGAAGGAATGGCTCTCCTACGATGGCACCCATCACAACACATGCATTGCAGTATCTAAAAACAAAGCCTGCCTTTCCCAGTAGGGTCGTTTCTATCTGCAAACATATGCAGATTTTATCAATTTAAATTCATAATCCATCAAAGAAATATTTTCAGAATGGCTTTTAAGCCTATGCAAAGATATGCAGATTCTTCAAAGACTCATAACATTTATTAATCAAGGTTTCTTCAATATAGTCCTAGGACGGGAGGTGTTGTGATTTCATATACAGCGACAATGGAATCAGCAGTTGGAAAGCATTTACTAGTTTTAAGCAGTATCATTAAGAAAGCAAAGGGATACCAAGTAGAATACAAAAATAAGAGGGCCAATGTGAAATACAAGGAGGCTGGATTCCGTTTGTTTTGTAGATTATCATCTCAAATTTGCAAAGGCAGTTCTGTGCGTCACCCTGGAAGAAATGCACCAGTTGTACTGTGGAGACAACTCTGTCTTCCAGGCAAGGTAGGCCTCACAGGTTCCTACTTTAACCTGGCAAGCTGCATATTAACCCAGCCAGTTTGGTGTAGTGTTAAGTGTGTGGACTCTAATCTGGGAGAACCAGGTTTGATTCCCCACTCCTCCACTTGCAGCTGCTGGATGACCTTGGGCAAGCTATAGTGCTGACAAGAGCTGTCCTTGAAAGGGCAGTTCTTGAAAGAGCTCTCTCAGCCCCACCTACCTCACAGGCTGTCTGTTGTGGGGAGTGGAAGGGAAAAGAATTTGTAAGCTGCTCTGAGACCCTGAGTGAAGGGAAGGGTATAAATCCAATCTCCTCCTCCCCCATTAATCACGTCAGCAGAGATGTACTGGTACCACAGTACAGTCACATCATTTTCTTATGGCAGTGTGAAAACAATTACATTATGGTTGGCCCTCCCATTAAGGGTAAAATGGGTGCTGGAAGGGGAACACCCTCCAAGACATGATCTCCTCTCAAAAGCTCCTGAGGAAGCTAATCGTGTTACACATTTTTACATATTTTATTGTTTAGAAGCTCTTGCGCTTTTGGTATTCATGCCACAATGAGGCAGTGGTGAAAACCTTTGGAATGCAGGGGCTCTTTCAGAATTCATTCCCTGGAACAAAGACAATTTCCCCACAACTCAAGACTAGAGGGCCAAAAGCTTTTTGGTGCACTCCTTGGCTCTTAGTTCTGAGAAGAACTGTCCTTGAAAGAGCAGTTTCTGTCAGAGCTCTCTCAGCCCCGCCTACCTCACAGGGTGTCTGTTGTGGGGAGGGGAAGAGAAAGGAGTTTGTAAGCCTCTCTGAGACTCTGAGTGAAGGGAAGGGTATAAATCCAATCTCTCTTCTTTTTCTTGGAATCATTGCAAGGACTGGACACAGCTACCACTGCAGACTAAGGCCCATTCTGCATCTAGGATTCGCTCTGTCGTTTTACCAAACACACACTGGAACAGAAACAGATGTGGCTCAAAACCACATTCAGATACCCTGGGCCAACGCTGTATTGACTGCAGAGTCACCCCTGAATGACCATAAAATGGCCATAAATCTATGTAGATGTTACCATAAAACCAAGAGATCAAAGGAAGTGAAACCAGCATGCAGTGTGGAGGCTTCCATAAAATCCGACAATCAAAGAAAATGAAAGTGGCATGCAATGCAGAGGAGAATTTCTGTTCCAACTTAGATTTGGTAAAACAGCAGAGCAAATACTAGATGCAGAATGGGCCTCTCTCACCTCACAGGAATGACTCAGTTGGCAGCTGTTCCCAAAGCTGGCTCTCAGGAGGAGATACTGGGAAAAGAGCAGAAACTGCCTTGCATTAAGCTGCTGCCACATCTCACATACATCCAGAATAGCTGCCTCGTTTCACTTGCCCACAAAGTACCAGGAGGATATTGGCTGCCCAGAGAAAGAGGCATTGTGAAAAGTATACATGGCAGTGTTGTCAGCATTCAAAAATGTTACCGAGCCTTGTTCATGGTTTAGTGAGACCTGGATGGTTGTATCATAACAAGGGTTGATGGGACACGCATGGATCTGATTGCTGGACCATGGACATGTCAATCGATGTGTCCCAGCAGAAGTGAATGCATACCAGCTACCATTTGATTGCCCCACAGCCCAAATCCCTTGTTCAGGGGTCAACCCGGACACATTTCTTCCCCGAAAAGACTCAAGGGCTACCCCCACAGCCCAGAACTTTTCATTCGTTATATTCATTACCCAGGAACAGCTCCCTGAATTTATTCTCTCAATTCCCATAACGTAGGACCAACAAGAAAATTGGCTGGGGTTTTGGTAGGAATTACCCCACTGCTGTCTGGTGCTAAATGAATGCACATTAGGTGTGCCAAATGTATGCACATTAGGTCTGGTGCCAAATGAATGCACATTAGGTGAGTAGTCATTCGCCAATACGACTAGTGTGGGGACTGTACAGGTTCCGCTGACAGTGAGCTTTGCTGCAAAAGAGAAAAAAGGGTCAGCCTGTTTTAATGTTTTGAAAGTTCCAGCAGCAGCGTCTGCTACAAGTTCGGGAGGATGCATGAGAATAGAATATAGGATTGAAATATTACCCTCTCCCCCTCCCGTCCAGCAAGGCAAAGGGGGGTTGCTACAGCTCTTGTGATCGACATGCTGATTACAACAGAAGATCAGGTCAAAATTCTCTACAGCCCCCAGCATTGGTTTGGGCTGCATTGCAGTTCTTTCGGTAACAAAGTAAATCCAGGAAGAGTCAGTTCAAGAAATAAAAAGAACAGTGCTTGAGCCAAGTCCCATGCTGTGGAGCCCGTTTTTTTGTCACTGGACTTCACTGATTCTGTGATTAAGGCTGAGGAGAATGAGAGCAGACACCAAAGCCTGGAATTGGGAAAGCCTTCCCTGCTATAGCTTTGTTCTTCACATGCCTTGGGGTAGATACAGGCAGGGAGGGGAGGGTACAAACTGGGAAAATGCAGTTTGGTCTGTAGTGTGCCCGGTTTGTGAACAATGAACCATCATGGAACTTTTAGAGGCTGAACAAACCAGTTTTGGTTTGTTAGGTTTGTGATGTGATAGAGTGGCCCCCTCGGGGTGCTAGAGACACTAAACTTGCAGCATATCTCTGGGTGACTCCCTTCTACCCATCCTCCAAGTTTGGTGAGGACTGGATTCACCGAGTCCAAGTTATGGCCCCCCAAAGAAGGTGCCCCCATTCTCCATTTTCCAATGGAGGGGAAAAACCCAGCAAAAATAAGTAAGGGCAATAGAAGCCCATCAGAACAGCACTGAAGTCCCACAGAATTTCTTCAACAGAAACTGAAGGGGGGCATTTTTGAAAGCCCAGCAGAACCAGTGCCACTGTGGCACTGCAAACCCAACAGGACTAAGGTCAAAACAGAGACTCTCTGCAGTACAAACTGAAAGCGGGGGGCATTTTTGCAAGCTCAGCAGAACTAGTGCAATGTGCAGAGTGCCCAGTGCAATCGCAGAGTATCCAGTGCCAATGTGGCAATGCCAGCTCAACAGGATTGATGCCAAGCACAGACTCACAATCCAAGCAAGGGGGTGGGACTGGAAGCCCAGCAGAATCCAGTGCCATTGTGGTAATGTCAGCTCAATCACAATCCAAGCAAGGAGGGAATTTTTGCAAGCCCAGCTGAACCAGTACAATGTACAGAGCACCCAGCAGTATAAATGCAATCACAGAGTGCCCAGCAGAAGCCAGTGCCACCGGCATTGCAAGCGTAAAAGGACTGCTCTCAAAGCTCAAAGTTACAAATCCAAGTGTGTGGGGGTTTTTTTTGCAAGCTCTGTACAAGAAAGGGACACCAGCAAAGGGGGAAAACCTCTTGAATCTGACATGACTAGTTTGAAACTGACAACAGTGTTTCCAAGGCTAGAGAATTCCGCCTCCCATGTTTCTTTGAAGTTCAGTTAATATTTTGTTTGAGCAAAGACAATCTGGAAATATAGCCATTCATGAATGGGCATGAACTTTCCACGAACTGCTTGAAGGTTTGTAGAAAGTTCGTGCTGGTTGACCTGCCATGAACTTTACTTCACAAATCACATACTGGCCAAAATTCATCATGAACATTAGTTTATGAGCCAGTTCGTGAGCATCCCTAATTACAGATGGGTTCTACTCATTACCACCATTTGGGTCTTTTGCTGGTTTGGGTCCTTGGTATTTCCAATGGCTAGTGCCTTTTCTACCTTCTTTCAACAGATATATTGTCATTAAATAGCTCCACTTGTAGAAATTTTGCCATTAGCAATGATAATCAGTCTCCTCCTCCCCTGATTAATAATTCTTGAATTCAATGAATGGCTTGGATGTATTGACTGCACTGATTACAGTGCGAAGTCCAATGGTACAATCTATCCCCAGAAGGGAAGGACAGATTTGTTCCAAATTATCTGAAAACTAAACTAAGTACATCCAAAAAAGCCACTCAAATCTATCTGAAATCAGGACCAAATCATACCAGACAGTGCAACAGATTATGGCCAAATTGCAGAAACATGCAACTACAAGTCATCTTCCATGCATCTCTTCTTGCCCTTCATTTTACTTGCAGAGACTTTGGACAGTTCTCCTTCTATCTCCCTATAACGTCATCATTCAGAGCCAATTTCGTGTAGTGGTTAGTAGAGCAAACTTTAATCTGGGAGAACTGGGTTTGATTCCCCACTTGTCCACATGCAGCTGCAAACATGACCTTGGGTCACGCTCAAGTTCTTTCAGAGCTGTTCTCTCAAGAGCAGTTTTCAAAGAGCTTTCTCAACCCCACCTACCCCACAGGGAGTATATTGTGGGGAGAGGAAGGGAAAAGAGATTGTAAGCCACTCTGAGACTCCTTTGGGTAGTGAAGGGCGGGGTATAAATCCAATGTTGTCGTCGTCAGAATTTAACATTCAATGTCATAAACCCAGACACTTTGGGGAAATGATTTTTAAAGTGAATTCCACAATAGCTGTAATCTACTGGAATATTCTCTATTTATTGTGCCTGTAATATCTTCCCACCCATGCCTAGATATTTACCTTCCTTGGCCTCTGGTCCTGCGAGCACAGTCTCTACAAAAGAAAATGAGAACGGAAACATTAGCACTGACACTTAGGGGTTCTAGGGATCACGTCAGGTATTTTGGAATGCTTAGAGCTATGCCAGTTTTATAGCATTATCAAAGATAATTTGGGGGGGGGGATTCCACTACAAAGAAGGCCCTATTGCTAGTTACCATTTTCTCTCACTTGTTCCTGTCCTGGTACTTTTAATTGCCCCCCACAAATTCTAGAAGAAAACAAGATCTCATGTTTGATCTTCTGTATGTAGGAAAGGTGTCTTGGGTGGTCTTATTGGTTCTGGGGGCCCTGCACACAAGTCAGGGATGGGGGCCTAGAACTGCCAGGTGAGATGGACAGGGGGGGCAAATCAGGACGGTGCACCCATCCACTGCCCTGACACTAATTCCTGAAATGGTCGACTGGGAAGCCAACAACCACCCTGGGGGAAATGGACCATGTTAGCCCCTTTCCACTGTGGTCCATTTTTGCAGCCCAACATGAGCTCAGGAAGTGGCTCACAACTCAGCACTGTGAGTGTCTACTCAGATGTGTCCCACTATATTCAATGGGACTTATCCCCCCCCCAAAAAAACTTCACTGTAAGGCTGCAATCCTATACATACTTACCTGGGAGAAAGCCCGACTGAATAAAATGCAAATTATTTCTGAATAAACATGCTTAGGATAGTGCAGTAATGAATACAAGGAAAAGGTGCACAGGCTCTAAAATGATCCCAGCAGAAGGGGAAGAAAGAAACTGAGTTTTGTGGACAAGGGGAATAATCAAAGGAGGGTGAGGAAGAGGAGGAAAGGCAAGGAGAAAACTCAGCTTTGCAAAATGACAACCTTGTTTTCTGAAAGAGTGCAAAAGGCAAAGGCAATCCATGCAGTTTTTTTCAGATATACCACAACAAGCACACACCCCCAAAGAGCAGAGGGAAGGGGGGAATCATGCTGGTCCCTTGCTTGGGTATAGGGATGCCAACCTCCAGGAGAAACCTGGTGACTTTCCAGAATTACAACTTATCTCCAGACTACAGAGATCAGTTCCCTGGGAGAAAATGGTTTTGAAGGATGGACTCTTTTTTTATGCTACACACTACATAGAAAATAGGGATGGGTAACACTAACAAACTACAGGTGATAGGACAGTATAGCTAAAAGAAAAGCTAACAGGAGTTAACTATATTGCTGATAATAAAATGCTTATTTAAGATTCTCATGATATATCATACATGAGTAAGGCTTCTTTTCAATTTAAGACAATTAGTAAAGGCTTATCATAGAAATATTTGCTCTGAGCAGGTAAGCAAAGTAGTTATCCCTCCAAGTACTTATATCTCCGTTATTTTTCTCTACTTATTTCTTCTTCCCTTCTTTTCCTTTTTATCTTTATCGGGGACAGTTTTTCTTTTATGTAGCTTGGGTGCAGCTGCTCCCAATTCTGATGAGGAATCTTCTTCAGATGAACTGTTTGTGTCCAATTCAACTTCTCGAACCACATGGGCTGCATTCTCCTTCTTCCTGCTGACTCCTCTTCTTCTACTACTGATGTTTCCTTTAGTGGTCTTTGAACTTTCTCCAAAAATCTTTTTGCTTTGTCCACAGAGTCAATCTTTTCTTTTAAATCCTTAGACTTAAATGTTAATCCTTCCGGAAAGAGCCATCTGTAGGTTATTGATTTTTTTTTGTAGAAATATAGTTAAGTCTTTGTAGTATCTTCGCTTCTTTCTGATTTCAACTGGTATATCCGTTAGAACTCTTCTCTCCGAATCTTTGATCTTCAAGATGTTTCCATTAGTGGCTTTAAGAACCGTGTCTCTTGTAGACCTTTTCGAGAATCTGACCACAATTTCCCCTGGCAGGTTTTTCTTCTTTAAATATTCAGGATATGATCTGTAGACCACATCAAGATCGCTTAATAATTCTTCAAATTTCACACCTGTCAGTGGGGCCAATGCTTGAGTCAGGATTTCTTTGAGATTCTCACCGCTTTGCTCTGGAACACCTTGGAACCTCAGCACATAGGCTGATTTTTCTGCTTGAAGTCTAAGGATTTGCTCTTTATCAGGTTCTTTCTTTTTGTAATTGCTCCACTTTTTGATCAAGTTCTGATGTTTTGAAAACAACTTTTTTGACTGCATTAGAGTTCTTTACCATTTGTTTCTGGAGAGTTTCAAAATTTTGGTTGAGATTCGTCATTTGATCCAGTAGGAGTCGCAATGCTGAAGCTAGTGTGGTTGAAAAGTCTGTACTAGCTTTCGGTTTCGCTCCCGGAGATGACGTTTTGCCAGCACCTGAAGTCAGCTTCCTCAGTGCCATTTTATCCTGTCGACTCGTCGTTATCTTTTCCCAGGAAGTTTATGAAAGTTCTTAAATGGGGTTATCTTCACTCACTTTACATAGCGATGCACTTGCTCACTCAAATGTTTTTCCGGACCCTTTCCCCCTTTCCGGTAAGGCTTCTATTTAAAGTTTCATTTTTGTTGGGGGGGGGGATATTTCCCTTTCCCTATTGCTGGTAGAAAGGGGGGTCAGAGCCTGTTTAAAAGTTCGTGCGCTTGGTGTAAATTCACTCATGTTTCTTCCAGTAACGATGAATTGCCGAGATGTCTTGCATTTTCACTGAAACTCCTGAACGCTCATCCGGTTTGTGCCTCTGGTTGCCATGATGGCGCAGTGGCAGTAGGACCTTCAGGGCAGAGTGTGCCTCAATCCCTTGGCATCGCACCTCTGGAGCAGCCTACTCGTGCCCCATGGCTGAGGGGCCCTCTGTAGGGGCCCCAGGGGGGAACTGGCGCAGCCGGATCCCCTCCTAGCTGCCACAGAACAGGCCACCCCGTATGGAGCTTGTCGGTGCATGCCTGCTGGGTGAGGAGCCGAAACCGAAACCTCTTGAAGGGTGGACTCTGAGGCACTGTCCCCCACTGAGGTCCCTGTCCTTCCCAGGCTTTATCTTCAAATCTCCACTTTCCTAAAGTGGAGATGGTGGCTGTTACGTATTGGGGCTGGAACATTCCAGGACTGTTTCTATCAGAAACTGGCTGAGCTTGTGCCTGCTGAATCACTAATAAAGCTGAGTGCATCACTAGGCTTGGAGTCTGCTCATCCATGGAACCCAGTATATAAGTATTTAAACAGTGGCTACGGGTCAAACCCACGGACACTGTAATGTCTAACATGGCTCCCAGGAGGCAAAGCAGGAGGAGTGAGAGAGGGACAACAGAAATGCAGCCATTGATGGAAAGGCTGCAGGCAGGTCAAAGGGGAGGAGGATGGACAGCTCACAGGGCTGCTCAGAGACAAGAGCAGCTGCTCCTCATCCTCAGCACAGCAGCAGCTGCCAGAGCGAGCAAGACTCACCACTCCTCAGCAGCTTTCTGAGCAAAAGGGGGAAAAGAGAGAGAGAGAGAGAGAGATGAGGCTGGCATAGGTGGGCTTGCACTGGATTTCGCTCTCCTGCAGGGAAGAGAGTGGAACCAGTGTCTAGGGAAGAATCTGAAAACTGGCTCCGCCTCCCCCCACCAGCTCCACTTTTAAAATGCCTCTCGTCTTCAGGTAGTTCAAGATGGTACCTGAAGAAGTGAGCAGTGACTCACGACAGCTCCTACCCTGCTGCCACAAATTTTGTTTGTCTTGAAGATGCTACCGGACTCTTGCTCTTTTCTCATCTTCGGGCAAGTAAGTCCAGGGCAAGCAGAGCTGACCAGGATGAATTCTTCTCTCTGCGTACAAGAGAAAACCCTGGGAAGGGAGAGGAGGTGAGTAGAAAGAGGCCCTGGGGGGAAAGCTTCAGTCACTTAAGTGGCCAGTCCGTCCCCAGAGGCTCAGGCAATGCAGCAGTCTAATCCAATAGGGTGGGGTGGGGACTCAGAAGAGGCCTGCAGAAGCCACTCATGGACCGATTTCACACAAGAGCTGTGCCTCCCTTTGCCCCACTTCTATTGGTCAATTTCCCACTCGAAGCCACACGGCCGCATTTTGACCCGTGGCTTCGCCCAATTTTCCCCACGGTTTCGTGATCCTTTTTTTTGAGGATCAAAAAACTGTGGGGAAAATCGGGTGAAGCCGCGGGTCAAAATGCGGCCGCACGGCTTCGAGTGGGAAATTGACCAACAGAAGCGGGGCAAAGGCAAGTGTGACCGTGGCGCAGCTCTTGTGTGAAATCGGTCAAAGAGTCACTCCATGGTGGTGGTGGGATGCCAGCATGGGGCCCATGGCTGACCACCCCTAAGGTAAGTCGACCAGAAGAGGAATGAAGAAGCCAAACACTCTGCCACTCCTTTTTCTATTGGTACTTTTGAGTAGAGGAGCAGCAACAAACACCCACTTCAGTTTGGCTAAAGGCTTCTTTATTAACAGTGACTGTCGAGCAGAGAACTTGGCAACTGGAATAAGGAGTGAGAAAATACTTAACTAAGCTGTTCTGTTGCTCTAGGCCAGGGTTCTCCTGGCTGGGTCCGGCAGATTCACAGAAGGCCCTGCTGGTAAGAAGACTGAGAAGAGGCACACAGTCCCTCCTACTCCCTTGATTGCTCTGAGGCCTACTGGGATAGCCTCTTAAAGAGGTAGTACACAGCAGGTACATTTACAGACGAACTCAACCTGGCAACCCTAAGCACGGGTGAACATCTGAATTAAAACGTATCAATTGGACTGGATTAGCTCTGTTTTTCTAAACCCATTTTTAAAAGTTCACATATTTAACTTGTTACCTTTGAATTCATTCATCGTAGTCTCCAGAAAAGGATGTATTTTAGAGACGTTCTCAACCTCTTGCTTTAATTCAAGAGGAAAAGCTCCTGGATTCAGAAATTTCTCCTTGTTACACCTAGGGAGAAAGAAGTGAAATTTACTGACTGACTGCCCATCCATTAGTCTTCATTCAGCAGAGAATCTGAAGTGAAAGTTGGGAACCTACATCTTAGATTAAACAAGGCAGACAAGGAAACAGAATGAAGGCAGAAACGGAGCTGAAACGTCTGATTCAATCTAAGATGTATTTACCTGCTACAACTCCCACTGTAGGCCAATTACCATATTTTGGAATACTCTTCTTTGTTTGCATGGGCCTTTGTTTATACTAGTTATTCTGACAAACTTTGTGACCGCCCCATTTCTCAAATTTTTGCATCTCATTGCTCTCCCTAGTGTTGAGTGTGTCAAGGGATCCAAACTCATCCCCTGTGTGCTTCCCAGACCCCATAAACCCCACTTTTCCCTCACTTTATTGGTGGCTACAATGGGGCAGGCTCTCTCCAGGACTCTATTCCTCCACACGTCCCAGGCCATGCAGGTTCCAGAGCACCTGATAGGGCATCTGATATTTCTATCAGCTACTCAGATGTCCCAGAAAACAACATTTCCCAAGATCCCTGGTCCTTAGGAGGTGACTATCTCAGCATTTCATATACCAGTAGAGAACCGCAATTTTTTTTTTATTCATGTTCATTTCAAGGGTATTGTTCATTTCATTGTTGCAACCTTTCAGTGTCATTATTATTATTACTACTACTACTACTACTAACTTTAAGCTCTAACTCTTCTGATATTAATACAGATAATTCCCTTCTTCTTCTTCTCCTGATGAAGGGAGTCTAGAAACCCAGTTTGCTAAGTTTGCTACTTCTGTAATGCCTTTGCAGGAGGCTCTGGCTCCGGGAGGGCAGGTTGAGTCTATTGTCCCTTTTCTAATACTGACTTACTGACATGGACGAGGGGGTTACCAAAGTATAGGGAAAATGCAGAGGAAGTTGCTCAGGAATTTGAAGATTTGTGTAATATGTATCAGCCCTACATGGATAGATGTTCAGCAAATTTTTAATCAGATTCTTTCTCCTGAGGAGAAACAGTTAGTTTTGGATAAAGTTCGAACTATCTGTGAGGCTGATGAAAAGGCAAAAGGGGATCGGGGAGCTACCGATATTAGTATTATAATTCCTACATCACTTTTTAGTCAGTGTCTGGCCAAGTCTCTTCAAAACTGGACTAATTATGATAATATAGCCCTGTTACAATATGTGGATGAACTTTTACTCTCTGGACCCGACAGAAAAACAGTTCAAGAAGCCACAATGTCACTTTTGAATTTTGGGGGGCAACAGGGGTATTGTGAGTCAAGGGACAAGGCCCACCTCATACATCATACATCATCATCATCATCGTTATTCCTCTCCCCACCCCGCTCCAGGATTCACTAGCAATTACTATGCAGCATCTGCTGCAGCTTCAGGCTAGCCACACTAGCCAAGCAGAAAAGTGAAGAGCCAGCTAGCCCACCAGCCCAAAGAGCAGGCAGAAGATCTCTCAGCCTCCACCCAATCCCCAGACCCCCTAAAGCTGTTTTTCTAGTGTCTAAGGTACTGGCCTTGATGCTCCTGGACAGTGCAGCCTGAGGAGGAAGAATATGCCAGGACTACACATCCCAGGGTGCTCTGTAAGGACTACATGTCCCAGGGTGCTCTGAGTTGCCAGGGAAAACACTGTGTGGGGAAGAGTGTGCATCTGCCTTCCTGCGCATAGTTGCCAACCTCCAGTTAGGGCTTGGAGCTCACCCAGAATTACAGTTGAACTCCACACTATAGAGATCCGTTCCCCTGGAGGAAATGGCAGCATTGGAGGGTGGGCTCTATGGCAACACATCTCTGCTGAAGTCCCCCAAACCCCTCACTCCAAGAATTTCCCAACCCTACGTGTTCACCCTATAGCAGACTGATTACCTGCTGGTGCGGCTAGTGTTACTGCTAACTCCAACTGAGTACAGGGAAATCACAGCTAAATTCTCTTGTTCTCTTAGTTGACACTATAGTTTTCCTGCCTGGCCTAAGAGAAGCAAGCCATTCACACACAGCCCTGGTTAACAATGCTACTTACCGTTGCAGAATGTTTCCAAGGCCCTAGATGGAAAAGAAAAAGAAGCAGAATTGATGTACAGACCCATGCCCTCACACATATCAGCAAAGACATACTCTGGCTACATTCCCCAGCTAGTATATATTGGCATGGCTTCTCTAATCTTAGTGAAGCTCCAGTATTTCAAATTGCTTGGGAAATCGGGTTCATTTTTCCTGAATATATGCTTTCATTTGGTTTTATATTTGACTAGGAATAAGGCCCGTTGTGGAAATAAATACAACGAGATCTAGAAAGAGGCTCTGGGGGAGTGCTCTGGCTTTGGGCAAACAGTCCACTGTTTTCTCCAGAGGAACTGATCTCTGCTACCTGAAGAGCAGTTGTAATTTTGAGTGATCTCTAGCCCTCACCTGGAGATTGGCAACAATTGTTACCAAGGAGGAAATGGCTGGTTTGGAGGGTGGAGTCTATGGCATTCTACCTGTCTGAGGTCCCACCCCTACGCAAACCCAACCCTCTCCAGGCTCCACCCCTCAAATCCCCAGGAATTTGCCAGCCTGGAGTTGGCAACCCCATCTCCTTCCCAGCTAACCATCAACCTACCCTTATCTGCCCCTTTGACTTCAGCTGACTTCTGCCCTCCCTTCTGCAGAGCAGTGGTAATTCTGAGTGGTCTCCAGACCTCACCTGGAGATTGGCAACAATGGTTCCCCATGAGGGACTGACTGGTTTAGAGGGTGGCATCTATGGCATTGTACCTGTCTGAGGTCCCACCCCTCCTCAAACCTCACCCTCTTCAGACTCCATCCCTCAAGTCTCCAGGAATTTCCCATTGGGAGTTGGCAACCCTATCAGGACTGGCCCAAATGTGTTTTCTCCCAAAGCCCAAAATAGGTGACAGGACCAAGCTTAGTTGCCTACCAACAGGCACTGAGGGGAAAGTAGGGTTGCCAGCTCTAAGGAGGGAAATACCTGGAGATTTGGGGGGTGGATTCTGTAGAGGGCAGCATTGGGCGGGGGCGGCGGCGGAAGGACTCAGCAGGTATAATGTCATAGGGTCTACCCTCCAAAGCAGCCATTTTCTCCAGGGGAACTGATCTCTGTCATCTGGAGATCAATTTGTAGCAGTGGGAGATCTCCAGGTCCC